CTTTTTACTATTGCAGGAAGTTACTAGAATCAAGAATGAGCATCCGGATGACAACCATTGTATTGTCAATGATAGGGTGAAAGGTCGTCTTAAGGTTACTCGTGCTTTTGGGGCTGGATCCCTCAAACAGGTTTGCTGCATGATTCTATCTCCATCTCATTCTTTAATTTGCACAATCACTTAATATTACGAGATATTGAGGCATTGTTGTGCTTGATTCTATATTCATGTTGCTACTTTGTTGCATGATCACATATGAGATATTGAGGTCTTGATGTGATTACATCTTGTTTATATCACATGGTGTGTATGCACAATTCTTGTGTTTTGGAATTTCATCTTAGTCCTCTCGATGCTTGAATTACCTTATGCTCAGACGGGTTTGTTTTGTTCTTGATGAAAATGGAGGTTCTTTTCATTGATTTAAATACTTTAGCATACTCAAATCTCATGTATGGCTACTCTATTTCTGTAGTCATATTAACTTTTAGAAGTTCTTACAGCTTCATAAGCACTGGTCACTGGTTAGACGTATCATCTTGGTGTCAATGACTTCTTCACCAAATTTCCAACTTTCTTAAGCTTTTTGGTAGTTATTCAATACAATGCAAAATCTCAAGCATCGGAAACAGAAACTATTCAACATATTACATACCAAAAAATGATTTTATCAATCTCCCTAAGACTTTTCTACACAGAACAGCAATTAATAAGGGAAGTTTTGCATAGTGTAATGATAACTTGTAAAATTTTATGATTGGTCATTAAATCACTATCCTATGGTTCATGGCTGTAAGGCTCTAACTAATGAAAACAAGCTTCAATAAACTGCTCAAATGTACTCCCAACCGTGCATGGAAAGCTGCAAAAGCTGAGTTTGGATTTCATAACATGTGGGCTACTCAATTTGACTCTTTAAATGACTAGTAATAGGTTCTACAGGTCTGCAACGACAATACCTAACAAAGGCAAGAAAATAAGTTATGATGTGGGACCCTTGGAGTGGCTATCAGACGAGATTGCTTGAGTGCAAACAACACATTATCGCCACATGAGCAGTACAACACTTACCATGGCCATTGGAGATCTTTTTTTTGGGGGGGGGGGGAAGGGGTTAGATGCTCTCTCCGTACGAAATGTTGCTATTTTCCATCCAGCTTTGGCCAAAGTGGTGGATTTCTCGCCGGTGGCGAGGTTGTGGCCCCCATTAGATATCATACACAGTGACATCTGGGGATCTGGGGACCTTCCTACGTTACAACATCTGGTGGTGATTTCATCATCTAAAGCTCACTACAACAACCTTCTTTCTACAAAAATAAAACAAATACAATGTAATGGACCTCCTGAATTGCTCCATGACCTATTTGAATGCTTCTTCCCTGATTGTAGCATTAGTCATCATATCACTTGGTTGTGTACTCTACAACAAAATGGAGTTGTTGATTGGAATAAGATCCTTATTTGCTGTTTCCTGCCATCTCTTCCCACTCTTGTCATCTAGATATATAAATCACCGTAATATTTTATTTCTAAACTTGTTATATTTTTATGTGTATCTTTATGTCTTTTATGCATGCTCGTAAAGATTCTGAATCAGTGATACTGAGCTCCAATTGGCAACACTAACAAGTGATTCTTCTGACTAAATCTTGTTTTATTGTTAAGAACGTGATTTTTCATAATACGTTTTATGTCGTTGTTTCAGGCCAAATGGAATGATTCATTATTGGAGATGTTTCGCAATGAGTATATTGGAACTGCACCATACATATCTTGTCTGCCTTCTCTCCGACACCATCAACTCTGTCCACGAGACCAATTTTTGGTTCTTTCATCAGATGGGTTGTATCAGTACTTTAGCAATCAGGAAGTCGTTTCTCATGTTGATAGTTTCATGGAGAGGTTTCCCGATGGCGATCCAGCGCAACACCTGATAGAGGAGCTTCTTTTACGTGCAGCCAAGAAAGCCGGTATCCTCCCTTACCTTTGAAATTGTGTTTGCCATCTGATCACTCATGAAGCAATCTTTTATATTATCAACATTGGTTTAAAAATGATAGGACATGGGACTTCTAAGGTCCAAGGTCTAGGATAAGCGATAATTGCCAAATTTACACACTGCACATTTCTCACCAAAATGCGAGGCTTTGCACCTTGACCTCTAAGGAGGTTGGGATCTACCGGTAACCCAGGTGATGCGGGGCCATTAACCCTTTGGCTTAATTGCCAAATCTTCACTTATTGAATGTTATGAATTTTATGTCTTATAAGTCACTTATATAGTTAGTTTAATTTTTTTTAATTTAGCATACTTTTACCAAGTTTAAGGTGTTATTCGAGTTCCTGCATTTTGTTAGCATGCTAAAACAGAAACCTAGCAATTCTATGTTAACCCAGTTGAATAGTGTGAGGTGTGTCCGTGTGGTTTTTCATGTGCATCATCTGCATTATATTTATATACGTATACATATACAAGTGTGGGTAGCAAACTATGTTTGGAGACTCTAGCTAGCGCTGTTGGGCACAAAGGGAATTAGACAAGTTGTGGGATTGAGAAGCATTGTTTGGCCTTTCTTGCTCTGTGTGTTCTGCCTTCGTTGCCTTTTCGTATGTTTTAAATGGACATACTTGTTACTTATTCTTATTTATTTATTTATATAATTTTTCATGCTTTTCATCATATGTTAGTCTTTATTCCTTCAGTTTGTTTGGTCACACTACCCTTTTCACAAGGTGAGGGTCTTAATGGAAACAGTCGTTTTACCCTATGGCAATTGATCTACGTACATCTCACCCTCCCCATACCCTACTTTCGAGTGGGATTAACCGAGTCAGTTTTGGATTGGTTTACACGTATACAGATTAACAGTTGAATTTGGAACAAGAGCTAAATTTTTTGGTTTGATCATGTTAAACTTCTGAAGTTATGGGTTTAATTTTGTGCCAACATCCGGTTTAGGTGTTTGTTGCAACTTCTAAAGAGAAATTTCTATATCTGTATAGGGATGGAATTGCATGAATTGTTAGATATCCCACAAGGCGACCGTAGGAAATACCATGATGACGTTACCGTCATGGTGATCTCCTTAGAAGGACGAATTTGGAAATCATCAGGAAAATACCTGTAACACAACACAAGAAAAAAAAAGCAGCAAAAACATCTCAATTTTGCATCGTGTTCTCCAAGGTGAAACCCGACAAACGGAACAGAGACTTTCAAACCCACTTTTCGTGGGTTCGAATGATTTAAAGAAACACACACGAATCTTGGGACGGATGTCGATCAAGAGCCAAGCTAGATGGCCAAAAATGGAGGTAAATGCTACTTGTTAACTTTCTCTCTCTCTTTTTGGTGATGGATTGGGGGGTGGTAAAGAATGGAACTTGTTTTCTTTTCCTTTTTTCATATTTTTTAATTTGTATTTTCTTTTTCCTTTTTTTAGGTGGGAAATCTTGTTTTATTTTCATTCTCAACCTGAAAGAAATGTGGTTGTATGAGGGGGTGATATCTTTGTTACATTTATTATTATTAGGATATTGAGAGGTTTTCACTTTGCAAAAGTGAAAATATGTAATTTTGATGGTGGATTATATGAATCTAGAAATTCTGTTGCCCAGCCCAACCATATGAATTCTCTCTTTTTTTTTTTCCCGAAATGTGTATCGTATCTGACGGGCCGACAATCGGCCCGACCCAGTACGAAAAGGACCGGTTAAGGTTTGGCCTAGGCTTAGTCCAGGCCCGGAGGACTGAACGGTCCTCTATTTTTATAAAAAAACGAGTAAACTATGGTTTTCGTTCTTATGGAAATTGGCATTTTGGTCTCTGTAGTTTGCAATTTGTTGCTTTTTTTATCCTTGCTTACTGTATACTGTTCTCGTCTATCGTCAATAACAATTACTCCCGGGCACGAAAACAAACTATAAACGAAAGTCGTAATTTTTAACAAACTATATGCTCTAAGAAACCTTGGTTAAGACCAAATAAAGTTTGGTCAAAGGCCGAAAAATGTATGGTCAAACTATAATTATATATCAAATAATGATGTAGAATTAAAATTAGACGAAAGATTGTGTGAGAATATGAGTTAAGATAAGAAACGTGCTTATCATGGGAATTGACCCGGTGCATCCTACCCCTATGAATTGTGCTCATCACGGGAATGATCTGGTGTATCTTGGTGTACCACATTAGTGTTGATTTTTAATTGGAATTGACCTATAAGTGTAGAGATTCTTTCTTACCCTTCTCAGTTCTTACCATAACCTTCATTCTCACCAAAACTCAATCAAAGAAAAAAAAAATTATAAATAAGCAGTTAAGATCGGTCTTGGTTTGGTCCAGACATGAAGGATTGATCCCGACTTTTCAGGACCGATCCTAAGTGGGTCCTTCATGTTCTTGCGCATCTCTAAGGAGATGGGCAATGAGGACACGTTAAAATGACCTCAAGGGGACGGATCCTTAAGGACCAGTCCAACTAGTTCCAGTCGTGTGCATTTTTAGTTAAGAGATCGATCTGGATTAATAAAAGGAATCGGTTCAGACATTCAAACAGTAATCAGAACCTTAATATACATGTTATGATTTATACACTGAATGATTAACAATTATACAGCCGTGTAATATGATGAGATATAATGAAAAATTAATACAGCTCTTTAAAAAAGAATATACGAAATTTATTATCTATACTATATTATAAAACATTTGATAAAACTCTTAAAACCCATTTTTTATGCATGAAGTACTGCATATTGATACATATTACTTAAAATTAAAGAATACAAGTAAATTATGCATAAATACAACTTATTAAAGCTCCATGTTTAAATTCGTTTAACTAACTGCAGATAAACATAATTAAATAGAGGATAAACATCTCATTTTAAAATATAAAAAATCTAAAATATAATTAGGATAATTATCGAGTTCTAACAAAATAATTAATTATTATCTTTTTAAGAAAATTTTATTATTAAACCAAATATAAATTACTTCGTTATTGAACCTAAATTAAATTATAAAACAATTGAATTAAAAAATTACACAAAAAATAAGAATTTTAAATAGCTAATTTGATACTAATATCGATATATTTGTGTCAAAATTTTATGATATCTTCAAATTTATATTTTATTCAAAGTTAAAAACATCATCACTTTTTCAAAATCACATAAAACCATACTATAACATCGACTGAGATAAAAAAATAAAATGAAATATTAAAATCAAGATGTATCTCGCTGCATTGCGCGAGTACCCTTCTAATGTAGTAAACGTGTTTATCAATTGGTTTTATAGAATTTGAACATCGAGTTTAAATATTTATACGTATGTGCTAATAAACTCAGGTTCAAATGCGAATCATAAATATTTTTAGAGCATCTCCAACAAGTTAGGAGTATCAAATGATGATGCTTGATTGGTTTGAGCTTGAGCTCCAAAGGTCAAAAGTGTCTGAAGGTCCATGTTCAAATCCAATGAGAAATAAAAATCCTCTTGTAGCCACGAAGAATCAAATACAATGACTTTGGCCTACCCGCAAAACAGATAAATTATTTTTAAATACTTTACTACATTATTTTTAAAAATAAATTATCAAATGGTTTAAAATAAAGTAGATGTTTTGTCTTCAAATGTCAAATATTTGTGCTTTGGACTTAGGATGAGGATAAAATTCGAATCATGCTACTTTTGTTTTAAAACATTAAATTAAGAGGACTTGAATGTGTGGTAAACTAACTGATAAGTTAGCTGATAGTTAATAAGCTAGTTGATCATTGATAAGCTAACTGGTAGTTGATAAGATAGCTGATGAACAAATCATGTTTAATAAGTTAACTGGTAGCTGATAAACTAGTTGATGAACAAATTATGTTTGACAAAAACTAGCTTATAAACATGTAAAATGACCAAAAAAATTATCCTGAAAAATTAATCAATTACAATATTTCATAATATAAATAAAACAGATCTCTAAAAATATAATATGTTAATTAATACGAAAAAGATGATAAAAATAAATAATATAATATGTTGACTAAAAGAATTTCAAACTGATTATTATAAATTTTGGATTTGTTAAACAAATTTTAGAAAAAATCTATTAATTTATGATTTTAAATAACCATGAGATATAATATGAATAAATATAAAAGTGTTAACCTCACACAATTTATAAGAGGTGGAGTCTGAAATCCGAATCAATAAAACTGTTTGTTTTTTGTAAATTGATAAACGTCTGAATTAGTTTAAATTGTCTATTTTACTCATTAAAAAAATTATATTGTTGTATTTACAAATAAAATTTATACAATTTCACATATTTATTCATCATCATTACGAAATTTACATCTAGATTATATAATTTTTTTTTTGATTAACCTGGATATCCAACCTGCTATGAGAGCTGACTAATCCCAGGACGACCACCTGTTTTACAGATAGCCCGAAGTCACCGCATTTGAACCTCCGTGGCCACAAGGGGATTTTTATTCCTCCTTGGATTTGATTAACCTGTGATTTGATATAAGTTTTGATTGTTTCATAATATATATATATAGAGAGAGAGAGAGAGAGAGAGGTGGGTTATTAATGCTTCAACCGGTTACCTGAGTACTTAAATGTTTAAAACTTTACATCTTAGATACTAAAATAAAAGTTTTGAAAGTACGCTATACAAGATATGAATCAAATTAAAGTACGTTACTTTTTCATGCAATTTGACACTAAAAAATATTAAAACATTAAAAAAATCATATATTATATTGTTTTAAAGTAATAATAATAATAATATGTATTAAATATCCTCCGACCACTCAACACATTTCTTTTGAATATGTTGTTTTGGTTTGCTCGTGCTTTTTTTAAATATTATATATATATATATATATATATTATCATTTAATTATTTTATGTAAAATCCAAACTAAATAATTACAAACGTCAATTATTCTCTCTAGCTAGGGGTGTTATGTATAGAAGCAATGGAAAATACTCCTAAACCTTAAAAAATCGAAGATACAGATGAACCAAACTCATCTAAGAAAAGGAGTGGTAGAATTTCAAAGGTTTGAGATCAATTTTAAAAAAGGACTCCAGATGTATCTGTAATTATTGTGGAAAAAACTATATTTATTGTAGCAAGAAAATTGGCACAAGTTCTTTGTGTAATCACTAAAGAAACCAACGTAAGAAGTATTTGGGTAGCATTAACGATAAAAAAACAAAAAAAATTGCTTAGTTTTCCTACTATCAATGAAAATGAGGTGTCATTTAATAAAAAGAGATGTCGCAAAATTGTGACTAGGTTTGTGTTTAAGGATGAACAACTCTTTAGTGCCGTAAAAGGTGAAGGATTCAGAGAACTTGTTCATGAGTTGCAACCGAGATTTGGTGTTCCTAGTAGAGTGACTGTTGCTAGACATGTTTAGCGGTTGTTTTGCAGTGAAAGAATTGAATTAAAGAAAGAGTTGACAAAGGTCAGACAAAGAATATGTTTAACAACTTTGATGGGTATATTTTTAGTATTATTTACCATATTTCATTTGCCAACTTTATGAAATTTAGTAACCCGCCAACACAACCCAATGAGTTGGGTTAGGTTGAAAATTTTCAAACAGTCATAATTGGGTTGGGTTGTAAAAATCTCAAAAACCGCCTAACCCAACCCGCATACACCCCTATGTCTAGCTTTAGCAGAGATGTATATGGGTTGAGCTAGGGGTGTTTGCAGTGCGGTTTAGGGTTAAAATGTAAACCGAACGGTTTGAAGGTTTTCTCAAACCATAAACTGCGCCACATATGCTTCAAATTTTTGCAGTGCGATGTTGCACGGTTTATACAATTTGAGCATATAATGTATTTCAGTCCAATAATTATACAATCACAACTTCATAATAAACTCGACTATGATGCTCCTATATTCCATAAAGGCAAAAACTTTTGATACTAACCATAAGGGTGGTGCCTGATTGGTTTGAGATTGACTCCAAAGATCAAAAGTACCAGGAGGTCTCAGGTTCAAATCCAAGGAGAAATAAAAATCCTATTGTGGCCACGGAGGTTCAAATGCGGTGACTCCGGGATATCTGCAAAACAAGCGATTGCCCTAGGATTAGTCGGATCACATAGCGGGTTGGATATCCAGGTTAATAAAAAAAAAACTTCGATACTTATTAAATGCGTAATTCAAAAATGGCTTAATGAAAACGAAATAGTTAGTAATTAATCCATTAAATATTACAAAATTCAATAATTATTTAAAAAAATAAAATGAGAAGTAGACAAAAAGGGTGTTAGCCAAAATGGTGTTGGTTAAAGTAATTTCAGTTTGCCCCCTTTTAAACCAACAAATTCCACATTTAGCCCCCACTTTCAAAAAGAATTTCTTAAAAGTTATTCAAACATTCACATCAAAAGACCAAATTTTATAATAAACCAACATATTTTTGTGACCATTCTTGACTTGTAGTTTTGGTCAAAGGGACATTTATAATAAAATACTGAATAAAATCAGTGTATAAACTTATCTTGTTGATATTATATGATCAAATAAATCCATTTCATGTGTAAATGATAAAGGGTTTTTGGCCTAGCAGTACGTGAG